ATTTAAAGCCCCAAGGAAAGACTGTCTCTTTGGCTGGGGTCAGATTTAGGCACACCCCTGGCTTTTCCTAAAAGCAGAGAAGAGGGTAACTGGACCTCCTTAGTTTCCCTGGGAAAGAAAGTGAGCCCTGGGAATCAATAGCCCATCAAAACCCACACACATGGTGATGGAGGGTTACTGTGCCACGAAGATTGGGGGCATGGTCTTGGGAAAAGCCGTGGGTGCCGAGTGGCCAGGAAATGACAAGAAGCCTTCTATATCCACCTCACCCCCTCAAGAAACAAAAGTGAAATCAAATAAAACAAGAGAAGAAAAATAAAACCCCGGAGAGAGGCCCTGGAGCCAAGCAAATGCCTTTCCCACAGAGATATGATCACCAGTGGCCTAATCTGATTTTCTAGCAATGCCTGTGAGTCAGTAAGTGAGGAGGGGTTGACATTGTTAGGACACAGGTCACTGGAGAACATCCTCAGGGTATGATCTCTAGAGGAAAGCCTTGAAAGAGAAGATTGTGGTAAATCCTCACATGTCAAAGTCAAGGCAGGGAAAGGTCTGTTAAGGGAACAGAACTGGGTACAGTGGTCTGTGTCAGCTATTTTCCCAAACTCTACACTCTCTGGCAAGATTCCACAGTGCCCCATCGTCCACCTGGACCTCGTAGGATACGTCAAGAAGTGTCGTTTATCTTACTACACACCCGAATGCCACTCAGTTGTTCCTGCAGACAGAGGGACCATGTTTCCTATAAGTACCATCTGGCCACCTGCTATGCTTCTCAATAATGCCTCCTAAAAATACCCTTCTCCAGTATCCCCTGTGACTTGAACAGAATAAAGAGAAAAAGCAGAGTTAATCTGCTCAGATTGGCTTTCCATCGAGGGAGACTTTTGTAATGTGAGAGAGGGTGGGAAAGCAGAAGCTTTGGAGACTGACAGATTTGGATTAGAATAAAAATAAGAATTTTTATCATTATAGCTAAAATGTATTATTAGCATATGCTGGCCACTGTTATAGTTACTCTGTATGGACTATCGCATTTAATATTCTCAGTAACATTCTGCGTTAAGGATCAGTATGATCTCCATTTTGCAGATAAGGAGGCTGACACATGAGTAATTTCAGCAAGAAAATGGCAGATTTGGTCTGATTCCAGGATCAAACTTGCAACCATTCTGCAAAATCGCCTCTGAGTGAATGTGAGTGCCTTCCCCATCTCTCATATTCTCTGTTCAGGCTGACTCAAGCGTGAGGCAACTGGACAGGTAGTGAAAGGAAGAAAAGTGAAACTTGAGAAGACGAAGGAATGGGAAACTGACAGCCTATTTGTCCTGAGGACAGTCAGACGACATGCAGCATGTGGTCAGGGGGCGGACTGGGCAGCCACCGGTACTTGTGAAGACCCTACTTGTGAAGGCAGCAGACACTTCTCCAAACCATGCAGCTCTCAAGCATCAGGGAGGCAAGGTGTCAGGGGAATCAAGAAAGACTCCAACCCCAGAATACAAAGAAGGAGAGAAGGAGGGAAGGAAGAGAGGAAGGAAGGAAGGAAGGAAGGAAGGAAGGAAGGAAGGAAGGAAGGAAGGAAGATTAATAGGTGATAGATATGCTAGATATTGATTGGTAGATAAATAATAATTAATGGATAATTAATAAGGCATGATAGATAATAGATGACAGATATATAAATACTAAATAAATTATAGCTAGATAGATAATTAACAAATAAGAGATAGATAGATGATAGATAAATGATAGATAGATGATGGATAGATAGATAGATAGATAGATAGATAGATAGATAGATAGATAGACAGATAGATATTGGATCAACATACTATATTAGATACTTAACCAGAGAGACACATCCATCTACGAGGCATGAGGAGGTGGACACATGGGTGACATAGGCTGATAAAGTATTACTAGGTATCAGACCCCTGGCAGAGTGTGGGCTGAGGCTGTTGATATACCTGCCCTGGTCAGGGTGACTTCTGAAACTTGGTCTGAGCCTAATCTCCTCACAGAAACATGGTGACTCCAGTCAGGAGGGCTTAGCTAGTGTGAGAATCTACTTTCCTGCCCCTATCACTTCTGTGCTCAGTGTGTGGCTCCGGCCACCTCTCCGGTCAGACAGGTCATCATTGCTGTCATTCACATTTACGGAGCATTTACTCTGTGCATCCTTCAAAATGTCTCACTTTTGTTTTTCATTAAACTATCACAATAGGCATATGCCATTTTAGGTTCTCGGGCTGCCTTGTTCCACTGTCCATCTCTCTCCCTACCACAACATCCTTGGAGGGCACATGGTTCAGAAAGGGAAGGCAAAAAAAAATTGACCAACCTCCTTCAGCCTTTAAAAAAGTGAGAAATTAACTTTCATTGTGTTGAGTCACTGCGGATTAAGGATTAATTTGATATCTCAGCTTTGCCTGACTAATACACTACTCATAGCCTCATAGGTTTGTTATGAGAATTGAATTTATGCATGTAAAGGATTTGTAATCTTTTTTTAGAAGATCTCATTGGAATATTTTATGAATAAAAGTCAGTTAGTTGCTTATGGGTGGGTTTTGAAGATTAACGTGTGGGTTAAATGACTGCCTGGCACATGGCTGTCAGTGAGCTTATAGTAAGTGTGAATTTCTTTGCTATCAATTTGTACCACTACCATTGCTACTACTATTACTATTAAATAAGGCAGACACAGCCTTTCTACTCTTAAGGCAATAATGCTGGTTGGAAAGAAAAATTCCATCTACCGTGGAACCAACCTCCTGGGAGCTGCTGGACTCTGAGAGTGAGCTGTGTGGGTCTTTGAGTGAATACGAATGTTAATAAACAAATGCAAACACTAACAAAGGGTGTGATTAAACACTTCCAGGAGCATAAGGAGCAACAGAGAGGCATGACTTCAATCAGTGGATCCCGGCCTTCTTGTTTCTCCTTTCTTCATCATTCTGGGACCAAATGATCACTTAGATATAAATCTGAATTTATTGCTCAGTGCATTGACTGAAAGACCCTCCTTCTATCCGATGAGTTGGATACCATCTTCTTTTTTTCTTGACTTAACAACTGTAGCAATGGACCAGTGCGGCCAAAGTGCATGGTGAAATTTCCTTCCATAGTCTTACTGACTCAAGGGATATGTAATCTTGCCTGGTGTGTAGCGAGCTATTGTTAATGTCATTCTTGGATGACAGAATACTGGCACTGATCCCCTAAGGATGTGTCTTAGAGGTGTTGACTCTTACTGCCCCAGCATAAACATCCAGTCTGCTCCTGTTCATAACAGCACAGAGCTGGGGCTGGAAGTACTCCTGTTTGCAAAGGGCTTTGTTGGTTTTTTTTAAAAAATTATACAATAACCTCCAGCTCTCAGAGTTGGAAAAGATCTTAAAGGTCATCTTGCCTGTCCCTCACCCGAGGTTTAACTCGGCTTTCCAATTTTTCTACTGTGGGGTCCTTTAGCCTCACCTGAACCCCCAGAGGGCCACCGGACAGATC